CTGTGCTTACATGAAAGCTTGATATTTGCACGAGTGTGTCTCTTATTAGTCGGGTGGTATCGCTCCAAATTAAGAGAAAACGCCAGTGTACCAATAGAATACATTTGGCATTATTGGTACTATGCAAGACTTGTTGAATACCTGGATGGGTAGGTGTACACCATACATGTATTAAAGGTCAAAGGTAGTTTGAGGGCCATCATAAGCTGCTGAAATTGCTCGTCTTCATTTACTAAATGAATTTGACGGTAAAGGTCTAGATTATGGCCCCCACCCCCTTCGAGGTGTGAGTGGGATCGAAAGAGGAGGTCTCCCCCACCACTGTACCATAAAAAGTTCGTGGCGNGAGGCTCATTAACATTCCTTAAATATGTATACGTACATGATGTACAAGTGTCTCCATTTATTTATACCACTCATTTGTTTATAATAATTAGAAACTGTTGTTACTAAATTAGGAATGCAAATTGTTTTTATCCTTATTTGCACAAAATATATTATTTTCTACATATATTTTTATGCTGCGTTTAGAAACGTCATACCTTATTTGTCCAAAAATGTTTTTAGATTTCGTGCGTACCTGCTTTTACTTCAACTTAACTTTAAATTGCTTGCGTAAAAGTAAATTATACACGTACAGTGGAATTCGTTTATTATGACTCCGCCTATATTGACCAACAGCATAATATGAAGTAATAGCAGTATTAAATTAGGGTTTCATATTCAATTCTCTATAGGAAAGGTTGGGTATAATGACTCCGTTTAAAATGACATATCGTTTATTATAACTGATTCTCAAGAAATCATATCCGGCTATAATGACCCAAATGATTAATAATAACATTTTCGCTCATTTTTCTGACCCTTCTTACGTATATTGATATTACAGTTCATCGTTCTTTTTCTTTTTCTGTTAATATATACAATTTGTAGTTTTTCTCTCTGTTAAACTAAGTAACTAACCAAAATAGAGAGATGTTTATTTTCTAAGAATATCCTTTGTATGACGCCCGCTTAGTATGACGTGTTTGTCATTTTCCTTCGATGGCATTATAAGAGGATTTTACTGTATTTCGATGTTTTTGAGTGTTCTTATAATATTTCAAAGGATATTGTTATTGATTATAATTTTTTCTTTTATATCATGAGTCTACGTTCATTGAATGTGTAGCATCATCATCATCATCATCATAAGGTCNATAAATAAATTTCAGAAATATAATCAAAAATTTTATTGCTAAAGTAATTGTTTTTATATTGCCGCATAAAATTGGTACCTTTCAATTGCTCGTAACTCTTAGCAATGGCAAATTGATTTTGAATGGGAAAATAGGCACAGTGCACAACGTATCTGCTGACCCCCAACCCCAGCTTCGTTTGTTATGTATACGACTGAATCGTTTAAATGCAGGAGGATATCGAAACATTGCGAAGCAATATAAATTTTATTTGTTGTTTTTATTATCTACTGGACATATTATAATACCTAACGTTCTTTCACATCACATAATAGCTATTAATACATCATATAAAACTTTCTCTTTATTCGTTGATATGTCTTGAACGGGTCATCATGTTTGTCATTAAAAATGAGATTCTAGAAGGAACTAGAGGTGCNCGCCTATAACACCACATTTCGAACGCTTCTAACCTTTTCTTTTCCGCCGCTCCCACTGTCCATGTTTCGCACCCGTACAACGCCGTGCTCCAAACATACACCTTTAACAACCTTTTTCGAATTTCTAAATTAACGGTTCGCGAGCATGATACTTTTATTACCCTTATTTCTTTTAGTTAAAATTTCATATTTGTGGTAAGTAAGTACATTGTAGATTTTTAAAAGAATATTGCATTCGTAATGAAAAGGTCAAATTTTTCCGAACGAGATCACCACTACGATAGCTTTCAATCTAAACCGTTCGAGTTTCCAGTCCAGAAGAAATGAAATCTTTCTAGTAATAACATTGTCCGTCCCACAGACACCGGATCCTGTCTTATTAGACTAGCTCTTCAGAAAAATACGGTTATTTCCGATTTATCCGAGCGGATAAAACTAACAAGATAGAAAATAAGGCGACTGGCGTAGTTCGTTTAAATTTATTTGTTAAAAACCACCGTTGGTTGGTAGGAGTGGTGAACACTGAACAGAATGCAATAAACCAATGGATAGAATACGTAGGTGGATTAATGGTAAATACTCTTATCTGAAAAGTACACGACTGTAATAAAAATAAACGAGTCTTATAATTATTATTTAAAACTTTATAAGATAACATTATACGTTTTCGAGAAAAGTAAATTACTTTTAACATGTACTAATTACTATTATGAAATCAAGAATCTGATCAAATATCCAATTTTATAGTTATTAGGTAGGTCCAGAATCAATCAAAGGTGATGGCCTTTTTGAAAAGTAAAAAGCTTTCTGTGATAACCTAATCGAGCTTTTTTGTTCTATAGTACAATGACTTACTTATCTATTCGAATGTGTTGAAAATTGGGAATGTCCTCTTCATATCCTACTTAAGTGACTCATTTTATTGGTTCAAAATACTTTCGTTCTCATCTTTATTATCTGTCTCATTGGAAATGACCCAGCTGCTCAAAATACAGAATTTGTGGATTTATGTTGTAATGAAAAGGAGCCGCTGTTTGAATATATGTTTTATTTTGAGTCTACCTATGTGTTGTTAAAACATTTTCAGGTGTATTTAGTTTCAAATTGACTGTTTAGTTTGGTTTTAATAAAATACACAACCAAAACGGCCAAAATGAACCAGACACTCTTTCNTTGAGCTGCATTCCAAATTTCGTCGTGTGTCTTAGCTTGCGCAAACTGTTCTTTCGTGTAAATATATTCTCTCTTGTCTTTACTACGATTGGATATAAAATCAAGAAAACAAAGATGAAAAGAACTGATAAAGCGAACATTTACCGGTGGATGTCCAACGTTGTCCTGGCCCATTTGTCAGCGCCTTCAATATTGTCGTAATTTTCATTGTAAAAACAATAGTTGTCGGAAAGCTCTCGACGTACAATTAGTTCTTCTAAATACCTTTCGACGCTTTCTTTGTAGCTGTTTTTGAAGTTCTCAACTTCCAGTGCAATCCTTTGTGCCGATAATTGACCTGGAAAGATACACAATTATGATAATAAAGGCGAGTGCTATTTTAATTATAAATACCAAAATTCACCCACGACGACATTCTCGATAAATTATCTTTCGAAGGATCTCCACTAGTCGTGGCATAATTTTCCAGACGTGTTGTTAAAAACAAATGTAGCATTTCAATGCCTGCAGTTGTCCCTGATGGTTTGGCCCATTTTATCTCAGGCAAATCCACATCCTTTTCTGACTTAAACGATTTGATAGCATCTTCAAACGAATACTCCTAATAATATAATTACAGCAACTACGGTAAAATATCCGTTTTTTTGTCTTTTAAAGAGTTTCTTTACCATATTGTTTAAGTTTAATTCGCCCGCGTATTCGTGTTTTGATACCATCGGAAAGCCTGTTAAATATTCTTCCAAGTTTCTGTTGATTTTTGGACGGATTGTTCTAGCTGCTAGCTCCTGTTTCGAAGACGTTATCCAAACTGGGACAATATTGTGCGCATCAACCTTTTGAAACATCAACACGAGTTCGTTCAACGAATCTCAGATTGTTACATTTCTAACATTACCTACCTGTACAAGCGACACGTCGTTTGGTAACATTATTTGTATTAATTTTTCTTAATTAGCAGCTGCTTATATACATGATAGCTTTCCAAAAAGGAAATAATTTCATGTTGGGGCAAGTTTTATTTATTTTATTTGATAAATCGTAAACTTTTCTCTTTGAAAAATGTGAACATCATCCAAGTTAAAATATTAATCGTTTCGTGTATAAAAACAGAAGACTTTGATTGGCTTTAAATAGATTTTTCGGTGATAAATTGAGTCTACTAATTATTAATTAACGTGAAGCAGTTTAGAATTTTTAAAAAACGTCGTCTTCCTAAATGGTACGTTTGAACAGTCACGGGGCCACGTACTTACAGCCGGTTCAAATCGAATTCCTTCCTGATAATAATCTTCCGAATTTGATTGACGTTTAATTTCTCTGGCTGTTAATAATTTAAAATTTAATCGCATTTTCAATGTGCCGTAATTATTGAAGGTATTCTGGCGTACGTAGGGCCCACGAAGCAGTCAGCACAGGCAACTAAGCTGATTTAACATGAAAAGAGATTTTAAAACCTGACGGCAAATTCCACATTTCACGGTCCCGTTGTCATCGATTTCCCATAATTTTGTCTGCCCTACCGAAAGTACTTATCTTTTTTTGAATTAGTACATGACATATTCCAGAGCATTTCGGCTTACGGATTGCACATTTTATTATTGACTTTTGCGGTAATTCCGACTTTTTAAAATGAAAACCAAATATCGACGGATTGTTCTTTTTTTTATGTTATGTTAAAGATACAAAATACTAGTACATTCAATTAAAAGCAACGAAAAAGGGATGAAATGGTATTTATTAATTATGTAATTCGTAATTCCACCGACGTTTTGCCTTTTGATCTAAGCCTTTTTCAAGGTAAATCAGTTAATTAATAAATTACATTAGGAGACATTAAAATTTTTATTTTTCTTGTATAATCACCCGAGAACTTATGTCAGATCAAAGATTTATACACAAAATTTGATCTAACGTAACAAATACGTTCTCGATGGAATTACGAATTACCTAATTAGTAAAGAACATTTTACCCCTTTCTGTCTGATTTTAATTAATTAAAATTATTGTAATACCTATTTCTTCTTGACTCCTTATCGTCCTCTGTTTTGCAGCTATTTCTAATAATGAAAAAAATAATTTGTAGTTCTAGAGATCACATATCTCCAACGATGAAACAAACTTAGTACAGAAACTAACGAGAACGTCTCTTTTAAAAAAATACCAACAATTTTTTTTATGTAAAAAATATATTTATTTGTTTACTAGATACAAATATTTTCTATTTTAGTTTAGTTTTCTTTTTTGGTTGCAGGCGAGAAGTTTCATTTTTATTTCTCCTTGGTCTGGACTTCTTTTCTTGCACTTTCTCTTCATTGTCTGATTCAGAATGGCTTTTCGTTGATTGCTTTTTATTCAGATATGTTTGCTTGATATTAGAAACTGATTGTTTTTTAGCTTTGGGTGCTGTGGCGTTATCAATTCTTCTTCCGTACTGCTCACAAAACGCATCGGCGTCGAATTTTTTTCTCATGCTCCAAAACACCATAAACCGAATTTTTCCAAATATCGGTCGTTCAGTCCAGCCATGATCATGGACTCCACAAATTGACCACATTACACCTACAAATATGTACTTATCATTACTGTTATTCATTTAATTAAATTTGTTTACCAACAAATCCGTTTGGATTATTTCCGTCCAATGCGAAGGTGTCGTTCAAATGGAGACCAATTTCTATTGCTTCTTCAGGACTCTTGGTCCATTCCAGGATTTTTTTACACCAATACATTCGAATGTATCCGTGCATTCTTCCTTCGTTTATAACCTGAACTTGAGCTGCATTCCAAATTTCGTCGTGTGTCTTAGCTTGCGCAAACTGTTCTTTCGTGTAAATATATTCTCTCTTGTCTTTACTACGATTGGATATAAAATCAAGAAAACAAAGATGAAAAGAACTGATAAAGCGAACATTTACCGGTGGATGTCCAACGTTGTCCTGGCCCATTTGTCAGCGCCTTCAATATTGTCGTAATTTTCATTGTAAAAACAATAGTTGTCGGAAAGCTCTCGACGTACAATTAGTTCTTCTAAATACCTTTCGACGCTTTCTTTGTAACTGTTTTTGAAGTTCTCAACTTCCAGTGCAATCCTTTGTGCCGATAATTGACCTAGAAAGATACACAATTATGATAATAAAGGCGAGTGCTATTTTAATTATAAATACCAAAATTCACCCACGACGACATTCTCGATAAATTATCTTTCGAAGGATCTCCACTAGTCGTGGCATAATTTTTTAGTCGTGTTGTTAAAAACAAATGTAGCATTTCAATGCCTGCAGTTGTCCCTGATGGTTTGGCCCATTTTATCTCAGGCAAATCCACATCCTTTTCTGACTCAAACGATTTGATAGCATCTTCAAACGAATACTCCTAATAATATAATTACAGCAACTACGATAAAATATCCGTTTTTTTTTCTTTTAAAGAGTTTCTTTACCATATTGTTTAAGTTTAATTCGCCCGCGTATTCGTGTTTTGATACCATCGGAAAGCCTGTTAAATATTCTTCCAAGTTTCTGTTGATTTTTGGACGGATTGTTCTAGCTGCTAGCTCCTGTTTCGAAGACGTTATCCAAACTGGGACAATATTGTGCGCATCAACCTTTTGAAACATCAACACGAGTTCGTTCAACGAATCTCAAATTGGTACGTTTCTAACATTACCTACCTGTACAAGCGACACGTCGTTTGGTAACATTCCTTTTACTGTTTGCTGCCATTTCTTGGGTTTTCTTAGTGGATTTAGTTCACATATGACGCTTCCGATATTGTTTCTTATTACAATGTCCACCAAGGACTTGCAAGGATCACCGTTGATTAAATGGAATTTTATATTTAACCGGGAGCATTCCTCGGCAACTTCTTTGAGACCTTAAGGATAATCACTTATTTTAGATAATTTCGTTTTAAACAAATGGAATGTTAGCACAAAATATTAATCTTTAATAACAAAATACAAAAGCAATATAAAAAATAATTTCTTCAAAACTTATTAATAAACAAATGACAATGAACTTATAGATTTAGGACTTATTGCTCATATCGGTAGTCTGATAAAATTTTTTGTAGTATATAATGCCACTAACCATTTATCAAAAAATTGTTGTGCCTTCTGGTAGGAACAAGTTCAGACCCATTCTTGGTAAAGTAGCAGACAAACAGTGGAATTTTGTTTTTCCTTGCGAGCCTTTGGGCGAATAGCATGGCCCAGTTGTCCTGGACACGACAGTCCCGGCACATCCAATACAGGATTCCATCGCTACTTTCTTTAACTTCTTTGCAATCGCTTAAAATTCTGATCCTGTTTTTGTTGAACTTAAAATCTTCCACTCGCTCACCTTCCTTCGATCTTGATTCTTTTATCGCAGATATAAAATTTTCTTTCGTGAACTTAGTCCAATCGACTTTACTTCCTACTCTCGGAGTTATGGATGCCATCTGAATTGGATGACGATTTTGCTAACTCGTTTAAATCTGCCTTTTATTTTTACGCACAAACATTTGGATTAAATTTAAAGTTTAAAATCGTCTTCGTCTAATGTGAATAAGTTAATGTACTCTAATATTATCTTGTACTAGTAGATTTACTGAATCATTGCCGAAGGTCACATCCGTTATGTAATCTTCGTCGACATTTAGCAGTTAACACTACCATTAATAAATCGTTAAATTTAGACTAAATTAATGTACGCAGAATGGATTAATGATAACTTAATAAATCTTAACTTATCGATAGTACATTTTACCGGAAAAATAAACTGTTGGTGGACGGTGGAATATCATCAGAGCTCACTGAAGCACCGTTGTTAACACATTTATATATTCTTTTAAACTGGTCATTCTTGGTTTTTAAGAAGTCTCCGGCAATAACGAACGAGAAATAAACGCAAAGCGGCTCCGCTGGACAGTTACACAACACAGTTGTTGTTCCTGGGAGCTTTTTAAATTGTCGAGAACGCGGCAAATTCACAAACGCAACGAACGAACGAACGAACCAGTTGCACTTGGGTTGCACCTTTTAAAATGTACGATGCATTCTCAATGTCAGTCGTTAGTTGCAGCTGAATAATACCAATGACGTCACACGGTGCAATCGACAAACGCGTTCCCGGAAAAGGAGAAACCACAACGACGTTACTCACGGCAACACAAAACAACTTGATGTAAATAAAACCTGAATGTTGGAAAGAACAATGCACCATCAAACTTTTAAAAATAAAAAAAAAAAATGAAAACACTAAGACGAGACCAAAATAATAATACAAATTGACCACATTACACCTACAAATATGTACTTATCATTACTGTTATTCATTTAATTAAATTTGTTTACCAACAAATCCGTTTGGATTATTTCCGTCCAATGCGAAAGTGTCGTTCAAATGGAGACCAATTTCTATTGCTTCTTCAGGACTTTTGGTCCATTCCAGAATTTTTTTACACCAATACATTCGAATATATCCGTGCATTCTTCCTTCGTTTATAACCTGAACTTGAGCTGCATTCCAAATTTCGTCGTGTGTCTTAGCTTGCGCAAACTGTTCTTTCGTGTAAATATATTCTCTCTTGTCTTTACTACGATTGGATATAAAATCAAGAAAACAAAGATGAAAAGAACTGATAAAGCGAACATTTACCGGTGGATGTCCAACGTTGTCCTGGCCCATTTGTCAGCGCCTTCAATATTGTCGTAATTTTCATTGTAAAAACAATAGTTGTCGGAAAGCTCTCGACGTACAATTAATTCTTCTAAATACCTTTCGACGCTTTCTTTGTAACTGTTTTTGAAGTTCTCAACTTCCAGTGCANTACATATAAAAAAAATGTGTATGGGGGGGGGGTTATGTTTTAATAAAAGAAACATCTCTTTTGATGTATTTTAGTAACTTTATTACGTTATTAACTATCTTGTGCTATCGCAAGGATCCTAACACATATATATTACTGATTATTTCAAAATACTAAACTCTGCCTCTCTTTCAGGTTGTAACTGCGATCCAAAGGGTTCTGAAATTCCAACGTGTGACATAACCAGTGGTCAATGTAGGTGCAAGCCACATTATATAGGAAGAACATGTAATAAGTGTCAGGTATGTCTAAAACTTAAATTGTTTTGTCTTGAAATATATTTTTAAAAACAAATTACCTATTACTACATATCGATAGAAAAAGTATTCCTCAAGTTAAATGATATGATAAGAATCAACTTTGCACTAGCATTGTAGTTGATATTACGTGTTATAAAATGTTTAATATGTAGGAAGGCTATTGGGACACACGTGTGGGCTGCGAACCCTGTCAATGTAACCCAGAAGGTTCAGAAAGTCCAGTGTGCCAGTCCAAAACTGGCCAATGTAATTGTAAGCAAGGTGTAGGAGGATTGCAGTGTGATGCATGTTTACCCAATTATTATGGGTTTTCTGAAACAGGGTGTAAAGGTGGTTATTTATCTAAACAATTAATTATAAAACATCCATAATTCAAAACCCATTTCAGAGTGTGATGTCTGCCTTAAGAAAGGTCACATTTGCGATCCTGATACAGGAAAATGCGTGTGTCCACCTAACAGTTACGGTGTCCATTGTCATCTTTGCGTTGTAAATGCGTGGGGTTACGAGCCAGAAAGGGGATGCAGGGTATATATTCTTGAACCAGTTGTTATTATCGATTTAGTTCAATTATGTACTTATTCCTTTTAGTCTTGCAAATGTTCACCGGCAGGTAGTACAAAACAGCAATGCAATCTTCAAACTGGCGAATGCATTTGTAGACAAGGTTATACCGGTATGAATTGCGATCGTTGCGACCACGGGTACTTTGGGTATCCAAGATGTCGACCCTGTCAATGCGATAGGTCTGGTACCGACAAAGCTCAGGGTAACTGTACCTCAAATGGGACGTGTACCTGCGACAGTAGTGGGCAGTGTCCATGCAAAGTATGCGCTGTGTTTCAAAGCAATGTTGGGCTTTGATTAACTGTTTTGCTTGCAGACGAATGTCGAAGGCAAAAAATGTAACAAATGTAAAGAAGGAACGTTTGGCTTGGATTTGGAAAATCCTAATGGGTGTACGCAATGCTTCTGTTTCGGAAGATCGTCCAAATGTAACGAAGCTGGCTTAACCTGGGGTCAAATCCGTCTCAATTCTAGTCGCATCTTAACAGTTAGACCGTCCGATAAATTAGTACGAAAAGTAAAAAAAACATTTTAAAAAAATTCCTCTCACTCTCCACGAATGCATTGAATTTGCATGTTCAACTTTTTTTTATAGGATCCGCCCGTTACATCAAATGAGATAATCGAATCCGAAGAACTTCTAGTCATTCCCGGGATTTACGGTAACTTAACAATCGACAGTAACCATTTCACTGCTCCACTTTATTGGCAATTGCACCCTCTTTTCACCGGCGATCGTATTTTATCATACGGCGGTTATCTTAGATTTAAAATTGCAACATTTGAACCAAAACATCAACTACCTCACGAAATACTTCAACGTTATCCCTTGGTCCAACTCCACTCGCACGGCCATATAATTCTTGAATATTATCCTCTACTTCCGGTTACGAAAGATCATTACGAAATTCGACTTCACGAATCTCTATGGAGAAAAAAACAGCCCGAAGGCATCGACATAGATCAAAGGAAACTGTTTATGATTGCCTTACAACATGTGGAAAACATTTTCATCAGGGCCACCGAGTACTCCCTTTTCGAAAAACTTTTGTAAGTTTTCATTTATCATTAAGTCAGGAAATAAAATAGAAACCATTAATTTTATTATTTAAGGTTACAAGACTTAACATTGGATACGGCTATTGAAGTACCCGGAAATCCCCCGCCCATCGCGAAGGGAGTCGAATTGTGTGAATGTCCACGAAAATATAATTCCACATCATGTCAAAATCCAAGCATTGGCTTCTACCGTTATTACACCCCTACGTCTGTTAACGGCACTATTGTAATAAGCACATTAGTAGGTGAAGCTAAAGCATGTGTTTGTAATGGAAGATCAGAAGTTTGCGACATTGAAACCGGTTACTGTTTGGTAAAAATTAGAACCATCAAAGTAGTGAAACTGCGACCATAAAAAACACTTCGCCTTTCAGCATTGTCGGCATAATACGCAAGGAAACTTCTGCGAACGCTGCGCCGATGGCTATTATGGAAATCCTTTGCATCCAGACGGTAAATGTGAACCTTGTCCGTGTCCCTCCATCGATCAAAACTTTGCGCAAGAATGTAAACCGTTGGTAGGGAGAAAGACCCAATTTCAATGCATTTGTAAACCAGGTACTTTGATAAAAGAAAACAAATTCTCAAAATTTTAACATTTTATTACCAATTAGGTTATACCGGAGCTAAATGCAATAAGTGTACTGTTGGATATTATGGCAATCCCCAGGAACCTGGGGGTAGTTGCAAGCCTTGTAATTGCAATATAGAAGGAGTTTCGCCAATCGAGTGCCTTCATGGAGTATGCCAATGTGATCCACATTCGGGACAATGCAAATGTAAGGCGGGTATCACAGGAAAACAATGTTCACAATGTGAAAAACCGAGACACACTCTTCAAAGGCACGGGTGTTATCGTAAGTTAGGGGAAATTTTATCTAGACCTAATTTGGTAAACATAATTTTTCTTAAATTTTTTTCATCATTACCATAAAGTCGTCAGTCCTAAGACTGGACTCTTTCCTATCCTGAGCTAATATTTGCATTTCCCTAAAGCTAGATCATCCCTCATCCTTAAACTATTTGTGAACAGTAATCTAATCTAGGTCTACTTCTACCCCTCTTAACTGTTGTTTCTGCCTCTAATATGCCTTTATGGCTGAGTTTAATATTGGCCAAAAGATATTTCGAAAAAGTACCCATGTACAAATGTACATATCAATTTTAGCTTGCGATAACTGCACTCAGTGGCTCCTAAATGATATTGAATGGATGGATGAAAAGCTGGGCGCAAACACGCACTTGTTATCAAGTGGTACCCTTCAGCCTCCATGGAAAAAATTGAGAGAAGCGGAAGAATCATACGAACGTTTCGAAAACCGATTTTCCAAACATCAAATCCAGCTTGCAAAAGCTCAAGAGGTCATTTCCACAAAAAGAATGGACTCGCTGGAAAACGATTTGAAAACACTTAACAAAACGAGTCAATCCTACAAACCAAAACTAAACGAAATATCTAAAATAAACAATGCTTTGAGAAACAACGTCCAGGATATATCGGATAATATTTCAAAAACTAAAGCTTCAATTGCAAAAACTATCGATGCACTAAAAAACTTCGGAAACTCTCATGTCAGTACACGAGAAGCAGTAAAACAAGCGGATCAGTTATTGACCGAAATCAAGAATATCAAAAACGGATTGAAAGATAACAAACAAGTCCTAAAAATGTGCAAAAAAATTGAAAAAAGAATAAAACAAATGACAGAAACCACCAACCTGGATCCACAAAGGGCGAAGGAAGATCTTAAAAGTTTGACAATCCGACTTGATGAACTGAGAGATATTTTACGAGAAATTGATCTGAACAACAGAATAACAGCAGAAAATAACGTAAACAACAATCGCACCTTTAATCGACTACAATCAACTGTTGAAAATTTAAACAATTTACGATCAAAAGTAGAGGAAGATCTTAAACAAATGAAAGACACTATGAACAAAGCGTCGGCAGTTCTAGAAAAGGCAAAAGAGCATCAAAATATTCTCAGTAATGAGTATGATTTGGAAGAACTGACAACAAAAATTGAGGATTTAGATTTAGACGACGTTGAATCCGAACTAACAGACTACAAAAATAGGGTCAATAAACATGTCGATGAATTAAAGGACAAAGTTAACTTTATTATTAAGTAAGTTTAAAAATTTTATACCTTGACATCCTGTGAACTACGTTCGATTTTTATATTGTTTTAGCTCTTTCAATTTCTCCAAAGATGCAGACGCCATCAAAGCCGGAACAGCTTACAAGACAATCACAAAAGGAGTCGAAGAAGCCAGAAATACTACAGGGGAGGTTCTTACAATATTGCAAACGATACACGACCAGATATATCCAAATTATGGTGATCCTCTAACAGATAACGTATCAATCGCCGTAGCTGACGCAGACAGATTGGACAAAAGAATTACGATACAGAAGCAAAAAATTCAAGGTATTTACCGTAATATTTTTCAATTCAAAAACGTTTATATTGATGTTATGCATTTTAGATTTAAAAGAAAAGGTCCATTACATAAAGGTAAAGCTTGGAAACGTAAATTCTAACAATTGGCAAAATGGCCTCGACAACAAGAACCAAGATAAACTGATTCGCGAGATTAAGGAAAAACTTAGGGGAACATCTACAAATGGTGTCGAGTCAGTAATCAGAACGGCCAATAACGATATACACAATATGCGAAATGTTCATCAACTTCTGTCAGATCTGGAACTCCGAAAACAACAGGATCTGTTAAAGCCTTTGGAGAAGATGCGAAATCTAACTTCTCCTTCTGGTAAGTAACACATTCCTATCATATCACAACAGTTGTTTCCCAAAACAAAATTTAGGTAGCATCAAAGGTCAAGTATTAAATGCGCTGAAAAACCTGAAAGAAGCTTCAGAAAACAAGTTCGACAAGTATACATTGGATAAAAGGAAAGACGAAAGCTTATCACACATACGACACCTCAACGACGCTGTTGCGAAACGATTACAAGAGTTACGAATCTCAATTCAAAAAGCAAGAAATATTGCAAACGTGGTAAATACCATTTTATTTATTAAACATTAACTTCGACCCCCTAACCACAGATTAATTAATTAAAAGCTCTTTTTTCTCTCAGATAAGCGTTCCATTAACTGGACCGACCTGTTCGCGTTCGTATGTTTTGAGAAACTTGGAACCTTCGCTACTTACAAAACTGACGGTCAAATTTAGTTACGACGTGTCAGACGAAACGAGTTCAAGCTCTTTGTTTTATTTGCCGGCGGGAGAACAATACATGCATTTAAAAATAATCAACAATATTCTCATTTACGAATTAAAATTGGTCAATAGCTCTCTCGTATCGGTGAAACAGGAATTGACGGAAAGTGGCACCTATGCAGTCGACATAGAAAGGTAGACATTTTTTAATAGCATTAGCAGTTGCTTTTTACCTTACGGGCAGGGGGAAATGGGGGGGGGGGCGTAAGAAAGAAAGTTTTACCCTTTTTCGAGGAATAAAAAAAATAATTTTTGAACTTCGTATACGGAACGAAGGACGTAAATTAACATAACTACATATACAGAATGCATAACAAATGAAACAATTTTTATTTAAAAGTAAAATTAATTCGAGATCCTTCCCTACTTCCCCTTTCCCTCCATCCGTACCCTTTACCGTGTTACATTATACATTGGAATAGAAAAATGTTTTGAAATATCCACAAAAATTGATGCGTTTATTATCTTGGGGGGTGAGCTTTTTCTAAACACTCTCTCCTCCCCGCCCCCCGTACCCGCCAGCATGCCGCAGATTACTAAAAGCAAGAACCCTAAATTGTTTAATTACTTTTTCAAATTGTTTAACATTTTTTTTCTTCTATTTTACCTGAAATCTCTGCCATTTTTCGTTTATAATTTTTCCAATTTCAAAAATCATTTTTCATATTAAATAACTGTTTGTATGTTTTTGAACCAAGGACGGTTAACTACGTTGAAATGAAAATAAATGATAGCAAAATAGTTACGTCGAAAGGTACTGAGAAAGATGAAAGTGAATTTGGAATTTTCAATGCGACGCAATCAGATTTGGTACACATCGGTAAAGGGGAAGGTTTGTACGGAATACCATCATGCATCACCGACGTAATATTTGGGGATGTCAAGCTAGGATTGTGGGATTTTCAGAATTTCACAGGTGAATGTATGGGATGCTTCAGGTAAGAAATGTTTCAGTAATTATTTTATAAAACCGAAACTTACATGCGTAATCTTTCAGAGAAACAGAGAGCATTGAAACAGGTTATGATTTCTTTGGTGGTGAAGGATATGCTTTGAGTCCCAAAGAAAATCAAATAAGAAAAATAAAGCCAGATTTCTACGTTCAATTTTATCTTCGAACATTTGACGAAAACGCTCTGCTATTTTTAGCTCCTGACTTCGAAACGGTAATATATTTCACTTATGATAAGACTTTTTGAAGTGAAACTTCTTTACGCACGGTACGGTAATTTCGTTTCATGCGAGTTGCTATGTAACGAAATCATGCAACGGATGTCCCCCCTCTACTCGGCCACGTAGTCGAGTTCGTAGTGGGGATCGCTTGAGCCGTGAGCGTGCTTCAATGCAACGTTCGTTACAGGCAACTCCGGCATGTATATTGTAAAATTTAAATTCATAGTGTGCAAATAATACCATTAAACCAATTCCTTAACCACTATCCCGGTATGTTTGAAGAAGTTTCACTTCAGTAGCGTGTTGTACACGTTGTATTTTTTTTTTAATGTTTAAAACTTTTTTAGGGAAGTTATTTAGCAGTTACATTACAAGACGGACACGTGATGTACCAAATCGTCTACCAAAATCACCAGCCCATAATATTACGCAGCAGTAATCGTTACAACACGGGTGAAAAAGTGAAAATTGCCGCCGAGAAACTATGGAGCATTTCACGTAAAACTGATATGGCTCTTCTTTCCGTTGGTGAAGAATCATTGGAAGATGTACGTGACAATATCGACAAAACGTCTATAGTGAGATTACGAAAAGTTAACTATTATTTTGGCGGTGTACCTCCCGAATATAACAAGACCGATCTCACTCGCAAACTGCACACACACGACTCGTTACTGGGCGGTATGGAAGACGTTAGTGAGTACCAGCAATTCAATTTCCACGAAAAAGGAGGTAATCTGAGAACATATGGGATTGAAGAGAAGAATGATGAGGTAAGTTAATTAAGTACTGTTATTATTTAACGTTTAAACATTAATGTGAAATTAATTCAATTTCCACTCACTACAAAAAAAAATATTACTGCTGTCACACCCTCGCCGGCAATCGAACCCGAGACTCTGTGGCGTAATACGTACGTTTGTTGTTACTGTTTCTTCTCGTAGCTTAGCTGTCAGAGTAGTGGTGAATAAAGTAAATGTCCCGGGTTCGATTCCCGGCAAGGGTGTGACACCAGTAACATGTTGTTCTCATTAATTTTGAGATAATTTGCATTGATTTTAATTTACTGTTTGAATATTTTTAAATGTTAACCGCTATTAAAAAGCTTCATAAAGTGGTTCATATATTGTTAAACGAATATCAAAGATATGCCATTTGTGACATAAAATTGTTTACTGAAGCTAAGAAAAGATCCCTTATTAACGTAGCTTTTTATACGTATGACCTGAAATTATGCGATTATAAGTCGCATATTACTAAAAACTAAATCAACATTTAGGCGAAATAGCACAATTAGTTAGAAACAAAACGAGTCGTAAACGAATCATAAAGTTTTATTGTTTTTTTTTTAGTTGTCATTTATCAAGTGCTGGTTTTTCGGAGAAGGTTTCATAAATATGAAGACCGTACCATTTAAAAGCAAAATATTATTTTTAATGTACACCGACCAGAAAGACGCTTTCATATTGAAAGTGGACGACTTTCTGGAAATAAGTTTAATAAACGGAAGTCTGAACGCCATATACACACAATACGGGAGCATTGTAACGTTAACCACTAAAGAAACGATTAGTTACAATGAATACTTTTCGGTTGAATTTTCAATAAAACACAAGAAGAATGCGTCGATAAAAATTAACGGTGAAACTAAATACAATGCCAAAGTGACCGCACCATCAGCCCATAATTCTCAGCAGAGTACAATTTATATCGGGGGAATACCAGAAGACGAGGAGAAGATTAAATTTTCCGGTGGAATAAAGAATATTATAATTGACAATGAGTAAGAATTTCAACAACGAAGTTAGATACAATAACTTATTTATATAATTTACAATGACGTGTTTTCAGGCCAGTAAAATTCACTAAGGATAGCGTAAAAGACTTCAAAAAGGTAAAAATTGGACGATCACAGTCAATAACTCCACCACGAAAATTGAAGAGTACTACCACCAGTAAATCACCTGAAGTTTCATCAGATATGAATCCCATAAACATGAAGGAAATGCAAAACACCGAAGGATGCGGCAAAGTTTTAGACTATAATTTAGATCCTAACGCTGCAAAATTTGGAGATAAGCCATACAGTTACGTCCGACATACTCTGAGCGAATACTTTTGGCGTAAAGACTACACATTATCACTTGAATTCCGAACTTTCTATCCCAACGGAATGTTGTTTATTTCAAAGGTACTTTTATTAGTATTTCTATTAGTTGCAAGTGATGTTANATACAAAAGCTTTAGAAGATAATGTTGAAATATATTTACACACAAGGAAATTTAATTGTGAAAAGTTCACAGTCTGTAAATTTTCGAAAAAAAATTTGTCGTGTGGGAGTGGTAAGTGGGTATATTTAAAAATATGTTGTTAATAGGAATTATAGGAAGGCGTTTGGCTTATGGTTATAAAAGTACCACGTTTGCGCTGTTAGAATTATATATAAATTTGTAAAACTTAAAAAAGCGCAACTAAATTTTCGAAAGTTTAAGAAATTATTTTGGGAACTTTAAAACTCTTGAAATATGTAAAAAAGTACGTAGAATCTTTTGGTATCAATAGGCAAGTGATGTTACTTTTTACTTACTGCTTTTCTAAGGGGCCAAAGCAACATTACAATTTGTTGGAAATAAGAGATGGAAGAATTCAACTGCAACTAAATAGCAAAAGAAAACGAAAGATAACTTTACCGCAAAAAGTCGACGACGGAATATGGCACAAGATAACCATTGACGTGAAAGGATTAAAGAAAAAGCGCAAGGTTGTCGTCAGTTTGGACAACATTAAAACGAAACCAATGAGGATGCCAAAGAATAAAGTACAAAGAGAACTTTACATCGGAGGAATACCGGAAAATGTTAGCACATCATCTCAGATTGTAAGTCTTCTCTGACTTAGTTATTATTACGCACCTAAATTATCAACTATTTATTTTGAAAACTAGAACACCTAAAGTATGTAAAAAAGTACCTAAAACGTTGTGGTACTAATAGATTTTAGGATAGGCTTAGGTTATAAATGTCAAACATAAAAAGGCGCACCTAAATTTTCGACAGTTTAAGAAATTATTTTGGGAACTTTAAAACTCTTGAAATATGTAAAAAAGTACGTAGAATCTTTTGGTATCAATAGATTTTACGTTTGGCTTATGGTTATAAAAGTACCACGTTTGCGCTGCTAGAATTATATATAAATTTGTAGAACTTAAAAAAGCGCACCTAAATTTTCGAAAGTTTAAGAAATTATTTTGGGAACTATAAAACTCTTGAAATATGTAAAAAAGTACGTAGAATCTTTTGGTATCAATAGATTTTACGTTTGGCTTATGGTTATAAAAGTACCACGTTTGCGCTGCTAGAATTATATATAAATTTGTAAATTTAAAAAAGCGTACCTAAATTTTCGAAAGTTTAAGAAATTATTTTGGGAACTTTAAAACTCTTAAAATATGTAAAAAAGTACGTAGAATCTTTTGGTATCAATAGATTTTACGTTTGGCTTATGGTTATAAAAGTACCAAGTTTGCGCTGCTAGAATTATATATAAATTTGTAGAACTTAAAAAAGCGCACCTAAATTTTCGAAAGTTTAAGAAATTATTTTGGGAACTATAAAACTCTTGAAATATGTAAAAAAGTACGTAGAATCTTTTGGTATCAATAGATTTTACGTTTGGCTTATGGTTATAAAAGTACCACGTTTGCGCTGCTAGAATTATATATAAATTTGTAAATTTAAAAAAGCGTACCTAAATTTTCGACAGTTTAAGAAATTATTTTGGAAACTTTAAAACTCTTAAAATATGTAACAAAGTATGTAGAATCTTGTGATACCAATAGATTAAAGATCTACACCCTCACACCAAGAAAGTGTGGGTATTAATTTAAATGTGTATGTTGAAAATTGATAAACCTCACAGTTAATTAAGCAAATATTAAAAATTCCAATAATTTTAGACCGATTTTCAACCCTTCCGTGGTTGCATACGGAGTCTGAAAACGAACGATGTGGCTCAAAGTCTAGTAAAAGCCAAGAACACAATGCACTACAATATTGGACAATGTTTTCCTGAAATCGAAAAGGGTGCTTATTTTGGGGGAGACGCGTACGCAATATACAGTCAGTATTTATCTTTCTATTTCTTATAACTGCCCACTAATTAAACGGAACTTTACAGGCCACTCCTTCCGAATCGATAGCATATTAGAAATAAAATTTGAATTCCGAACTGCTGAACAAAATGGAATATTTTTGAGCTTTTCCGATCCCACCAATCGACCAGCTCTTTCCTTGGAACTTCAAAGTGGAGCTGTTGTTATGACCGCCGATAATGGATTTGGAAATATAACGAATGTGGTCAATAATTTATCCGATTTTGTCCTTTGCAATAACAGGTGGCACAACATCACTGCTCTGTATACGAGTAGTGAAATTATGGTTTATGTGGACGGTGTACGAAGAGGATGGGTGCAGCCCGAAGAAGATTCTTTAATGGAAGATCTCGAAGCCCCATTCTATATAGGTGGCATACCGGGTAAGTGCAGAAATCTTTTATATTATATTAATATGTCAATATTTCGTCTTTGTTTCTCTTTTTGTATCCAGATAATGGAGTTGTGGGAACTTTAAAAATGAAAGAAAACTTTAAAGGTTGCATACGAAATTTTAAAATAGGAGAAAGAACAATAGACTGGATAAAAATCGATAAATTAAATAATATTCTTTTGGAATCCTGTCCAATAACCACATAAGACTAATTGCTGTAAAAAAAGAAATTCCTCAAAAAGTATTATCATTACCATGACGTATTACTTTCACAAGATTCACTGCCTGTCTCTCTTTTTGTACATTCATACGTTTTGTAAATACTGCCATATTTAATATTTGTACCATATTTTAAACCGATATTATTTATCAATAATTTATAATCACTTGAGTGAATGTATTANTGTAAATTTTCGAAAAAAAATTTGTCGTGTGGGAGTGGTAAGTGGGTATATTTAAAAATATGTTGTTAATAGGAATTATAGGAAGGTACAGTAATAAAAGTTATTGGCACAGATGGATAGAATACAAAAGCTTTAGAAGATAATGTTGAAATATATTTACACACAAGGAAATTTAATTGTGAAAAGTTCACAGTCTGTAAATTTTCGAAAAAAAATTTGTCGTGTGGGAGTGGTAAGTGGGTATATTTAAAAATATGTTGTTAATAGGAATTATAGGAAGGTACAGTAATAAAAGTTATTGGCACAGATGGATAGAATACAAAAGCTTTAGAAGATAATGTTGAAATATATTTACACACAAGGAAATTTAATTGTGAAAAGTTCACAGTCTGTAAATTTTCGAAAAAAAATTTGTCGTGTGGGAGTGGTAAGTGGGTATATTTAAAAATATGTTGTTAATAGGAATTATAGGAAGGTACAGTAATAAAAGTTATTGGCACAGATGGATAGAATACAAAAGCTTTAGAAGATAATGTTGAAATATATTTACACACAAGGAAATTTAATTGTGAAAAGTTCACAGTCTGTAAATTTTCGAAAAAAAATTTGTCGTGTGGGAGTGGTAAGTGGGTATATTTAAAAATATGTTGTTAATAGGAATTATAGGAAGGTACAGTAATAAAAGTTATTGGCACAGATGGATAGAATACAAAAGCTTTAGAAGATAATGTTGAAATATATTTACACACAAGGAAATTTAATTGTGAAAAGTTCACAGTCTGTAAATTTTCGAAAAAAAATTTGTCGTGTGGGAGTGGTAAGTGGGTATATTTAAAAATATGTTGTTAATAGGAATTATAGGAAGGTACAGTAATAAAAGTTATTGGCACAGATGGATAGAATACAAAAGCTTTAGAAGATAATGTTGAAATATATTTACACACAAGGAAATTTAATTGTGAAAAGTTCACAGTCTGTAAATTTTCGAAAAAAAATTTGTCGTGTGGGAGTGGTAAGTGGGTATATTTAAAAATATGTTGTTAATAGGAATTATAGGAAGGTACAGTAATAAAAGTTATTGGCACAGATGGATAGAATACAAAAGCTTTAGAAGATAATGTTGAAATATATTTACACACAAGGAAATTTAATTGTGAAAAGTTCACAGTCTGTAAATTTTCGAAAAAAAATTTGTCGTGTGGGAGTGGTAAGTGGGTATATTTAAAAATATGTTGTTAATAGGAATTATAGGAAGGTACAGTAATAAAAGTTATTGGCACAGATGGATAGAATACAAAAGCTTTAGAAGATAATGTTGAAATATATTTACACACAAGGAAATTTAATTGTGAAAAGTTCACAGTCTGTAAATTTTCGAAAAAAAATTTGTCGTGTGGGAGTGGTAAGTGGGTATATTTAAAAATATGTTGTTAATAGGAATTATAGGAATGTACAGTAGTAAAAGTTATCGGTACAGATGGATATAATACAAAAGCTTTAGAAGATAATGTTTACACACAAAGAAATAGAATACAAAAGATTAACATATTTACAAAACGACATTATATATACAGTGTGCTCTAATTGATGTTGGTCGCTACAAAGTTATTATAACGGAGAAAACACTGTTTATTGATACGATAACATGACGAAATTACAGTTTATGGTGATTGATATTAGTACTTGAAATATATTTAGGATGGCACTATTCTAGGTTAGTTACTGAGTAAAACACAAAATGCGGTTTATTACTTATAAAACTTGTCTGTAAAGAAGCCAATCTCGTCTGTTTTCGTATCCAAATAGAAAGAAAACGAAGTTAATTTCGCCAATTACTGAATTGTAACCTGTAATTGGTGAAATTAACTTCGTTTTCTTTCTATTACCTATAAAAGTTTCTTATACTAATGCATTACTCTACGACTTATGTTAAGTAAGCAACACAACACATATCAGTTTTATTAAGTGAACACAGAAATATTTTAAACTAATCCATTATTCTAAGGCTTATACTAAGTAAGCAAAACAAGATATTTCACTTTTATTAAAGGAATACGCAAATATTTTAATGCTACGACGTATTGTAAATAAGCAATACAAGATTTTTCAATTTTATCAAATACAAAATTATCATAAATTAATGCTTCGAAATTAACTTTAAGACTTGCACAGGATGCAATTACCTAATTACGTCTTTAAATAGAAACTTTCCTTATACGCAAATAAACAATTTAAAACATTATTGAATGAGAGAAACTTACTTTTTAAAAAATATTTTGCTTTTTAAGGCGTTAAACCTAAAATTTACAAAAATACAATTAAAAAATCTTCCTGTTGTTGAGATACATCTTTTCCTTCCAACTATCTTCATTAATAGAGTGGTAGCAAAGTGGCAGGATCTGGATCCACTTCTTTCTAAAATTTAGCATATATCAAAAATTTAGTTAACCCGAGTCAAAAAATTGGGACTCATTTTGTCCTCATTTGATCTCAATAGAATTTTTAGGGATATTTCAAACTACAAGACTCAAAAGTCTCATTTTATCCGCGGTTTTCCCGTATCAGGACAAAATGAGACTTTTGAGGAGTAAAGATTATTTAGGAAACCTCATTTTGTCTTCAAAAAGTCTCATTCTTTTCTTGTTGAGGTTAAATTGAGGACTATTGCCATAGGATTGCAGACATTGAGAATAAAATGAGACTTTTTAGAATCCAATGTGATGAGTCTTATGAAAACTTATTGAGGTATCTGAGATTAAAAACGTCTAAATGAGGAAAAAATGAGTCTAAATAGTTCATTTGAGGATAAAATGAGTCCCAATTTTTCGACTCGGGAATAGCAAGTTAATTTCAAACAAATATTTCATAGTGAATTGAGTAGAAAAAAAAAGTTACTAATGTAATGAAAAACTCCTGATATTAGGAACATGATGGAGAGTCGACTTCTTACTGTTGTAGATACAAGTGCTTTTTTAGCTTTTGCAAAGCTTTCTGAGAAACCAGCTGGACCCAGTTTCTGATTCAATCACAAAATTAATCAAATAGTAAATGCACTTTCTATTTCAGACGTATAATGAAATAATTAAACAATGCATAGGTAATCTACTTAGAAGGTGCATTTTCAACGTAACTAATTTTGTGATGGGCTAGTTGCTACATAAAACAGAAATACATATGTAAAAAAATAAGTTATTAAATAATCTACAATTACCATTTTTGAATGATGAATTTCGAAATACAATGGCCTAAGAAGCTGTATTGTGTGTAATTAAAATTTAAAAAGAGTACTGTTCCTTGATGTTTTATGTTCACCTCAGTGTGTAAATTATTATTATTAAAAACAAAGAAAAACTACTGTAATTATAAGTATAAAACATAATATTAAAATAAATTGTTAACAATGTTTTCTTCGGAAATAATTTTCGACATAAAGGCCATAGGACGATAAGCATAGTGAATCGGCCCCAGAGGAATATTTGGATAATTTTTTCAGGGGACATTGATACAAATGAGGTACGTTAATTTTGAAAATTTTAGACCTCTATCTATTTTGGTTTTTGAATAAATTCAAAAAAACGAAAAATCAGAAAATAATTTTCTTCTCAAAAACGGCTCAATCGATTTAATTGAAATTNAATAATTTTCGACAAAAATTTAACAATTTAAAGTTTTCAAACTATATCTATATACAATACATATACTTATTCCCACTTATAATAGTGCATCTATAAAAGTAAACATTTTAAATACAGCTTTTTTTAAAACAAAGTAGTATTTTCTAAATTCACCGAAAAATGGTGTGTGTTTCTGTACTTCATTTTATACTTTACCCGTACAAGCACAGGTACATCTAACCAAGTCTTGCTTCAACAAGGGAGAATTCCGCCTGATGTCCAGGTAAGTAAACGTTTCCATAAATTTCTACACAGAAAAAACATATCATAAAAGTGTACTTTTCTCATGTACATACATCATACAAATCAGATAAATGTTAGGCAATATCAACAATATAAATAAGCACAAGAAGGCAATCATAAATATTAAAAAGAATTAGAAGTAATATAACAGTGGATACCTGAAAGCTTAAATAATAATTATTTGAATCTTCTAAAACTTAAGAATTTTGATAAAGAAAACATCAAATTAATTGCGAAAATATGACATTTATAAAGATACAAAACCATTATCAATACTACTGAAAATTTTGGTGGAGGCGCAGGGACAATTTAATATAACTTCTCTAATTGCATTATAATTCGAGTTTCATTGAAGTAGATTAATGAATTCTCATTTCATAATTTAAGTTAACTTTTGCAAAACACTGTTTATCAAGTTTTTAAAATATACGTATATATAAACAAACGATAGAATTATCTAAATATTATTTTGTCACATTTGTGGCGTTCCTATGCCACACATGTTAAAATGCTCAAAATACGTCACTTACCTATTTGAAGATTTTCAAAAAATTTTCAGACATTGAAGGTAATAACAACCATAGGACCTAGATATAGAACCTACATACTACTGCTTCAAGCTTTTAAATGCGAAACATTCAAATAATTATTCCAAATAAATAACTTATTTTATGGATTATGTAAAACTTTTAAGACATACTAGATGATTGTTTCCTTTCTTGACATAGTAATTACCCTACTTCGAAATTAGACGTAAAATTTAATCATTTACACAATTTTCGTTTTAATCTAACAATAATTTATTTGTAAGACGACCATTTTATAACTGTTTTCTTGGTTTCAAAAGTTCAAAGTTTATTGTTGCTTGTATAACTTTTAAAATTAATATTTAAATTTTTGTAATACATATATTGTGCTGAAACATGATAAACCAACTGATGTTGAAAATTGTAAATTTGATAGTTTTAATAAACAGGTAATAGCTCATGGTCAGACTAACTGCTTTATTGGAAATTTTATTGTTAAGAGGCCTGAGAAATATGTTAAACAACAATTAGTTAAATTTTTACTAAAAA